AAGAAGTATTATATACAATTGCCATCAGTTGTGCTCATGCATCTGTAACTGTGCAATAAATACAGATATGCATAGGGACAGAGTTAAGAAACTGTTTCTCACTTCCTGCTGATAGTATCTTGAGGAGTGTAGCTGACCTATGTGACACAGGACAGGTTGTGCTGATTGTGTCCTTCTCAACTCATTTGTGACTGCATCCATCTTGATACATTAGATGAAGTCTGGGAATAAGAGGGGTAGCTGCCTTGCCAGATGGCAAGAAGTGCAGTAAAGGAATTGATTTGATTTAAATCAGTTGCACTACATTAAAAATTGAAGTTAAAGCTGTATTGTATTGCTTTGCTTTGTTAAAATGTGTATTTTGATGTTTTGCTTCTACTTAGTTTTGAGGTTTTAAAAATTTTGCTACCAAAATAGGTTTCTAAATAAAATGTTTGCTATTTATTTTTTAAAATACCACCACTACACCAGTTGGGGTGTTGGGGTTTTTTTTGTGTGTATGAAATCTTTCATTGAAAGATGACAGAGCTGATATGAACTTGTGAATTGCTCTGGTTGTCCCACAAGTATTCCCAGTGAAGAAAATTGAACGGGAAGATCCTCCATCTGTGCCTGAATTCTCTTCCTGAAGAAATCAAGTAAGCCTGAGCAAACCTTCCAGCAAAATGCTGAGTAGAATCATAGTATATCTCAAGTCAGAAGGGACCCATAAGGATCATAGAGTGCTCCTTGCAGGACTACCTAAGACTAAACCATATGAGTAGAACCTTTCTTAACAGGCAAAACATATCAGGTAAGAAGTCTGTTCATAAACGTGTGCACCCAGGCTGAAGAAGTAAATGCAGACTGAAGGTTTGAAGCCATTAGGAGCTCATCTGCAGAAGTCAGTGGGAAGCCACTTAACATCCTCTGTGGAAACCAGCTGCGTTCCTGCTCTGTGCTGTGCCCTGTGCTCTTTTTTTCATGAGCTTCCTTTAAGTACAAGAGGGACCTCTAAAGTATTTACTGATAGTAACAGTGTAGTACTGCATTATCTGGAAACCACTTACCTCTGCCTCCTTCCACAGTTTCCGTATGGATTTAAGTGACCTGAGGATAATTAGGTCCATATCTTTCTGAGGGTTCTTGGCTCTGGGCTGCATTTCTCTCCCAGCTTCTTCCCAAGGTACAGTGCTTTGTGCCCTCTCTTGCTTCCACATGCCCCATTACAGAGGAAGCAATGTGGTATCAAGGCATCAGTCATCTCCTTCGGGGTGGAAACTGCTTTCTGTATTAATCTGTTAAAGGTGCTGATAAAGACTAAGCAAGTTGGAGACTGAGGAGAACCTTCCATTTTTCCATATCAGTTTTTACCCTCTCAAGAGCAGGGCTACTGGAAGGAAGTCCCAGAGGTGGGCAAGTAGCAGGTCTGCTCTATGGCTGACACTTGACTTTATGCGTCCCTTCCATCATCCATAAACACGTTACGTTGCATAGCCAAATGTTGAATGCTAAAAACTTTATAAAGCTGCAATCTTCACCCCAGGCATTCTGCAGCCCAAACAGGTTAAATTCAGATTCTCAAGGAAGCATATTGAGCAAGAATCTGATGACTCAACCTGGTCACTGTAATTGTGGTATTTAAAACCTGACTTTTTTTTTTTCCAGGAGTATGCATAAAAGAGAGAATCCGTCTAGACTAAGTTGGTTGTATCTGTTGTCAAAAATGCTTTTGAGCAGTGACAATAAAAATAACAAGTATAAACCAACATTTCCAGTGAACTCTTTTGAGTTGCACTCTAAGAACCTTATAAGAAGCACTGCTGTCTGACCAGTGAATGAATACATGAGTAAGCAGAATATTTTGATGCAACTGATGTCTTGCTCACATCTTAATTCGTATTTGGGTGTATATCAAGGCAAGGCTTACATCCTGATATTGCTGCGGTGAGGTCTGCAGTGAAAGCCAGGGATGTTCCACCAAATGATAATTACCAGTAGTTGCCTGTCGCTGCAAAATTTTTCTCCAAAGTAGCTAGTTCTTTCCTGGCGCTTTTTACTTTGAACTTATTCATTTGTCCAGGAATCTTTGTGAACTTGGCTATTCTTCCTCCCCTTCCAAGATACCACCTGGGGGAAGCTGCAGGTTAATAGTGTCCTGTGCTATAATCTTCCAGTAATTCATGTAGACAGCCTATCAAATGTGCAGAAATGGGCTGCAGCTCTTGATCATCTGGCTAAGGGGATTAATGTCATCTAATGCAGTGTGTTGGTCCCAAATACATTACAAGGAGCAGAAGAGGTAGGGAGGCTGAGAGTGTGAGTTGGAAGAGGAGGGGAGTAAAACCCCTCAGGAAATCAGTAGCCATCTCAATTTGCAACTTCTGTATTTCATCTACTGTGTGCAGCAAAAAGTGTTCCCTGGAGTTTGGGGCTGTACTTGTTGGGAAGGTGTCAAAGAGGATGCCTGCTATAAAGCTTGTGTTTAGATTAAACACATAATCCAGTAACACTTTGTGCTGAAATATTGTCTTTGATTTCATCTTCTTAAATCAAGTGCAGAAATATTTTTGGTGTTTAAAATATAGATCTAGTGTTTCCTGTAGCTTGTTTAGTCTTACTAGGAATATAAAGATGTTAGTCTTTAACTGGGTATTATATAACTGTGGGTATAATTAACTTTATTTGGTCAAGAAGGTAAAAGCATACTCTGTGTACATTATGTACTAGTTGATAAATGAGTTTATATTGAAGCATTCCATTGATTTGACAAATAATGGGTCATTAATGGCAAAGTTGACTTAAAATCTGAAGCCACACCTATACTGCAGGCACACAAGTGAATACAGGATATATTAGCTTGCCTGACATGTCGCAGCTAAACTGCACTAGAACAAGCTCAAGCATCTCTGCCACATTCTGGTCATGTCTGAAATGTCTGTAGACAAGCTGCTAGTTTAAACTACAGAATCAGAGATGCTGTTCACAGTCTGTCTTTTTTCATTCCCTTGTTACTTTAAGCCTATTTGAAACCAGGGAACAACTTAGCTATTTCTATTGCCATGTAACTGAGAACTAAATGAACACAAACTGGACTTCTGAGAGACGTGTGTGTCTGAGGAGGGTGTTAGCAGATATGCACAGTGCTCAGCTGCAATGAAATAATTGCACAAGGGGACTGCCAAAAGTATATGGTCCTGTGCACTGGAGGTGCCCCTGGGGCTGGTAATGGGGGTCTGTGCACTTGTCAATCCCATCCCTCCAGCACTGGCTCCAAGTCCCTTTGGAGTTCCGATTTTATGGCTTGTGGTCCTTGTTGACTCCTTGCTCTATGCTTTAGTATTTTATTATGTGAATATTGGCGGGGGGGGGGGGGGGGAAGATGTGTGTGCGTGTGCATGTATGTATGAGAGAGAAGTTACAATTTTTTGTAGCTATGTTCAGAGCTGCTTTATAACTACAAACCAACACCTTTCATGCATCGTATGTTAGTTAGTGTGTTTGGGGTTTTGTGTTGGTAATTTAACTGGGCCCCTACAGTGCCAAGTGGTGTTTTCATTGCCAGGTAGAGTGCTTAATAAATCTATCCAATGGTATTAAGTAAATTTTATGGCCCAGTCAACTTTTTCCTGTTTTCAGCTTTTAGGAACAGGACAGCTGCTAGACTTTTCAGGTGGTTTAGTTCACATGTGAATTTTGAGCCCAGCAAATTTTTCTTAAGAACTTTTTCTCCCCCAGTTACTCATCAAGTTATTTTAAGAGGTGATCAGCACTAAACAAAATCAAGGCTATAAAGCAAAATGCTGAACAAGATAACTGCTTTTTTTTAATCAGCAGTAATCCAGCCGGGTGTATTAAAAGGCTGTGTAAGTTGCTCCCAGAGGATGTAGACTCTGGAAAAAATGCCATGTAAAAAATCTCCGTCTCTGCCGTTCCCCAAGCTCCCCATTCTCCCCCTTTTTTAATAGTAAAGCTTTTAGATCAGTTACTTCTTTTTTTTTTTGAGTGTTATGTGGCTGACTTGAGATGTGGAAAAGTTTTGTCTAAAGCTTTATTTAAGGGAATACAAAATAATTTGGAACTTGAAAACTGATGAGGAAAGGAATTAGGGTTGTTTGTACAGATGGGGTTAGAATGGAAATATTTAATCTACATGTAGGTATTTCCAGAATACCTCATATGATTTGGTAACCTGATCCACCTTTTCCATGAAAAAAGGGTATTTTGAGTGTCTTATCCAATTTAGTAGCCTAGTCCTGAGTATTTTTCCACTTCTCCCTGGTTTAGGTGAGTTTAATTCTGTTGAATTCCATGAACTTTTATCGAACTGGAACTGATGTAAAATGAGAGAGGGATTTTGTTTTTGAATTGGCGTTCAATAATGTCATCACTGAAGTCAGAGTTGCACCAGCATGCAAGGTGTATGTGAGATCAGGGAGAGGCCTTATTCTTTCCAATCCTAACTGGATAGTCTGAGATCGGAAAGATGGCCCTGGCAAGTGGGCAAGTAAGCTGGAGGAGGAAATAAGGTAAGCCTGCAGTACCTTTTGCCAAATCACTGAAAATGTCTGATTGATTTACTCTCTGAACATATTAGTGGTGTTTCTCCTTCTGGATGGAGATGCACTGTTGACAGCGGATAGGGAAGCCTGCACTGTTAATCTCTAAACCATTGTAGTTGAAGAGGTAACTCCCTTCTCCGGTGTTCCCAATATAACATCATTGGTGTGTGCCAAAGTGTATCGCGTGGGGCTGGGGGAGGAAAACAGAGCTTTGAAAGCTTTCATATCTATTTGGTCTCTTTTGTATAAAATATGAGCAAGTAAATAAATGTGAAACTATTTTTAAAGCTACTTTCTCCTGAAATAGTTTGGCACAGGTTCTGAAACTTAGTTGTTGAATAAAGGAACTTCCCAGCAACTGCCCTTTGATTACTTCTAAATGTAGATTACAGCTGTTCTTTTGGGAAAGGCACGTAGCTCAGCATGTGAGAAACTGACACCTTTTTCTCTCCTTTTCAGAGTATCTCCTCTACAGAAGTCTGAAATAGTAGACATGGTCAAGAAATACGTCAATGCCATAACACTTGCCATTGGGGATGGTGCCAATGACGTAGGAATGATCCAGACAGCTCACGTTGGAGTGGGGATCAGTGGCAATGAGGGCATGCAGGCAACCAATTGCTCGGATTATGCTATTGCACAGGTCAGAGGCAAAAAGGAGCAACTGCCATATCCTGTTGTCAGAAACGTGCTGCGCAGCCACGTGGTGCTTGATGGCTTCTCCTAGCCTTCAAGCTAGGGGCATCTCTGCTTGTTTCCTTTTCAGGGTATCTGTCTAAAACAGATATCTTGGATGTATTTGGGGGATTTGTTATTACAGTTTTGTATTCTTCAGGGCAAAGCTCCACCTCACCTCAAAGTTTCAGTTTCCTCCTGTCTTGGCTCTTCAGTAATCAGGAAGAGGCACTTCGTGTGATGCTGATGTTAACATGCTTTTACGTGTAATTTATCTCTCTTGGTGCAAGCTGTTTTCTCTTACTATGAGTAGGCATTATAACCAGGTATGTAACAGTTTGGCTGTTTGGAAATACTTATTTTGAGGTGTCTCCTCCATTTATTTTTGTTTTGTTTTTTTATTCGGCCCCCACACCCCCCCAACGTATCCAAGAATTGGTCACAGTTCTAGAGCTGGCCAACGTTTTCAATTTAGGTATGTTAATTTGAATGTTTTGGGGGTGAGTGCTCCCAAACTATCCCATCAAATTCAGCACTGATTACTTCAGCTAAAGAGGAGAGTAAAAAGCCTTTTCTTTGTTTTACTGAAGAAACCAAGATGTAGAATAAAGATGTAAAAAAAAAAAACATAAGAAAGGAAGGAGGTGCTACAGTTGCTGCACATCCTCTGAATGCTATTTACAGCCGAGGTGCTCTGTGTATGTGTTTGAGACTGATTGCAGGGCAAGAACAGGCAGAGCTGACAAAGAAACACAGATGATCCACTGTCTCCTCGGTGATCTGTGAGCATCAGCTGATGTTCCCTTCTGGTAGGGTGTAGGTAGATTTTCTCTACCAAGTGATATGAAATGTTATCATCTTCTGATAGTTTCAGTAGAAGGTGAGGTTTTGAAAAGGCGTGCATAATGCTGCTGTTTGCACAGATAGCTGTTTATTGTGTTAATCCTGCTGTGAAGCAAAGTGGCAGTCTTGTATTGCTGCTCTGTTCTGCAGTCTGATGAAGCACCTTCGGTTTCAGGCTTGAATAACTGAGACCTTTCACCAAATTTATCTTGAAAATTTTAGACTGTTTTTCAAGGGTTTATTCTGTCATAAACAGTGGCATATTCCAAATACACAGCACTATAGGAACTGCCATAATTATGAAGTCCATAGTATCTTGTAATGACTTTCTCATTTTTAACTTCTGTAGACTATATATTGCTTCTGCTGTGTAACTTAATTGAATGCTCTTTGCTTATACTTCCTCAGATCATTTATTACTTCAATTTTAATAAGTAAGCGTATAAGCATTGAGAGTTTTGTCCATAGAGGGCCCTACACACTTAATTCCTTCCGTGTTAGTTGCAGTAACATTAAATTGAGGAAGTAATTCCATGTCCGTGTGTTGCTTCTGCATTAACAAACCTCCTGTCTTTGGATTTAGTGTTAGAATATGGAAGTAAGTTGCCCTTGTTTTAAATTCCAGTCAGGGAGTTACTGACAATAGTAATGAATCTTCTTAGTTCAATATGAAATAGAAGGTTGTCACCCAGCACAGAATTTTAACTTTAAAAAATTATTGAAACACTGTGGAACTTTGTTTTTTGTGATTGTGTAGAGGAGCTTTGTGCTGACTAGAAAACGTATAAAGGAATCCCTCTTGTAAAGGAGACTAATATTGTATGGTAATGTGTGTTTTAAAAAAAGTGTTCAAAAGAAAAACTTGATCTCTGTGGGTTATATTTCTTTCAGTGAAGACATATAACTCCCACTAAAGCATTACTGTATGTGCATGCCTTGAAGGCAGAGTATGTTCTTATTGAGTAATTTAAGACAACCACTATAATGTGGCATCTCATGTTCAAATGGTATTTCAAACACAGTGGTGCCAGAAGTAGGCACTTATGGAAGAGAAAGTCTATATATAGGCTTGTTAAGGATTCCAGGGGGAATCAAAGCATAAACCAAACAAAAATAAAGGTAACTGTGTCTGACTCTACTGCAGATAGTGCAAGGAGCATCTGTTTGAATCATCCTTTTCCCTTGAAATGACACTGCACCAGTGATCCATATTTAGAGAATGGCCAAATCAAATGACCTGTTTAGAGAGACAATAGTAGAATTCAATAACTTTTTTTCCTCAGTTAAAAGGCTTTATCATCTTAGTCCAGAGAGCAGCTGGTGTCTAGGGACTGTCTCATTTTCTTTGCTAGGGAGACTTCTTTCTTAAACAAATGTTCATGTTTCAGGTTGTTTGGGTTTTTTTGTTGGGTTGTGTTTTGTTTTTTTTTTTTTAAATTTGGCTTGCATTTTGGGTGCATTTCGTTGTCTTACCCCTGCCTCCATCTTGACTAAAGGATGAGGTGATGCCATGTTGGGCGGGAGTATCTTTCTAAAAGATAATCTCTGTATAAAAAAAGTTATGCTAGGGTTGATACAGAGACAACTGAAAACTTACAGAAACTTTTTTGCAGGTACGTTGGCCAGATGATCATGATGTTCCCTTCTGATTTAAAACTCTATGAATATAGTAGTGCCCAAACAAGGGCAATGTCTTAGTAGACCCCTATACCTACAGTTGCTCAAGTATGGCCGTAGCTGTGCATTTGCATAATTTCAGTGACCAGCATCAAAACAAATTAATTCCCTGTCACGTCTTAATGGGACTCTTCACCAGCGTGAGCAGGCTCAGAACTCCGTTATTTAGGTTACTAATATCTTCCTTGCCGTGCTACGCTGTGCTATGCAGTGCATTCGTTTACATAAGAGTACAGACAAGAGAGTGATTACTGGTGGGATTTTTCTTGCCTTGAGCTCCAGAGAAGACTACATCTGAGGTGGTCACTCGTTAGACTCAGCAGAGAGAAATTTTTAGGGTGTGTCTTAACTATTCTCTACAAGAGGTGTTTAGGGTGACTTGTCAGGACATAGTGGCAAGTTTCCCATCACTGCTGATGTGTGTTGTTAGTGAATTTTGATGAAGAAAGTTGTAGCTGTGTTGCATATTAACTGAGGCGTTAGGTGTCTAGTAGGTCAACTACTCCCTTGTGTGTGTCCCACTTTCAGTCCTGACTCAAGTTAGGCAGAGACTGAACTGTGAAGCTTGGTTCACTTACATTTTCTCTCCTTCTTCCTCATGTATCATAACAAATCTGAGTTGCTCATGCATGGGAGAGCGGCTGTTCTTACAGGATTTGTGGTTCACTGATTTCAGTCCTGGAAATCATGGGAGCAGAGCTATCTCATGACAGTCCTGATTCATTACTGTAGCTTTCAATTTCAAATAAGTTTCGGTTAAAATACATGATCTAGAATCTAAATTTAGGAAGTCAACCTTTTCCTATCAAGTCACTCAGTGGAAAAGGAAGCAAACCAAACAATGGTCCCACCTTAGTGTCCAAGAACCCTTCAGGTATACACGTACTGAACAGTAAATCTAGTCACCAGTTTGAGCTGTCTGTAACTGGACAAAAGAGAAATGGTGCAGGCCATAAAAAAAGTTCACTGACAAAGCCAAGACTAGAAAATTACGTGTTTCCTAGGCTGTGTTGTGAGACTGCTTCTATAAAAGTCCATTTTCATAGAGAAGCTGAATAGAGAAGCTGAATTTGAGCTGTAGCTGTGATTCAAACAAGCATTAAAAGGTATCCATTTTTACAAGATTCATTTACTTGTCCTTTCTGGCAAATGCTCCTTCTTTCTTTATACAGTATTTTAGGTGCTTTGTATAACACAATTGCATACATTGTGTGGGCTGAAAATGTAAGTATGCATTGTCTATAAAAGACTCTATGCATCTATTCTTTCACTTGTGTTCCCACCTTGTACATTTTATTTCAGCTCAAGACAGTTGTAACTACCAGACTGTTCACTTAACAAAGAGGAAGGAGATTCTAAACCTTGTAATCCCTCTAACAGAGGAATCTTCTTTGAAGAAGTTCACGTTTATATTCAATCTACAATCTATGTTAACCTTGCTTGATTTTGCTATTAGGATAGCAATACTAATTGAAGACTACTTGCTGTTTAAAGCCAGTGAAGACCACTTAAAAACACTCGGAGGTTTTGCTACAAAAAAAGCTTTTCCTGTAAATATTTAAAGTGTTTTTTGCATGTATGTTCTGCTAAGCTATTTAAATAGTGCACTTGAACAGCTTTCATAGCTGATCTGAGTGCTTTTTCTGAGGGCAGGGGTTTACTTTAACCAATTTTTTAAAATAGTTCTTCATATATGTGAAAACTTGTTTTCTCTCTTTCAGTTTTCCTACTTGGAGAAGCTGTTGTTGGTCCATGGAGCTTGGAGTTACAATCGAGTTACCAAGTGCATACTATATTGCTTCTACAAGAACGTGGTTTTGTATATTATTGAGGTAAGAGTAACTAAATGGATGGGTCTTACTGGTGCTTACTCCTCAAATCATTTCTTAAAAAAAGAAAAACTCATCCAAATGGATTGAGCCAAAAGGACTGACTTTTTTTTTATGCTTAACAACTTAAAATTCTGTTTCCTTTCTCAGATTGTTAGTTCACTTGAATCTTTTAACGTTTGCAAAAGGAAAACTGAAGGTTTCAGTACAGTGAAGCCTTGGATATGAGATGTCGGGGCAAAGTTCATTCCTTCTGTGCAAATGTTCATATTGAAAGCTTCTTTGTATTCATGGAAACACTTCTATTGGAGCTTATATTTATAAAACTTGAATTTAGGGATAAAATTAAATTAAAAGTTCATTTTGTAGACTTGGGAAGAACTCTATAGGCAAATAATAAACTAAGCAAAAACTATAGCTCTTGCTTCCAAATTATAAAGACCATAGCTGGAACTGAAATTAGGTTGCCTTGTTTTTCAGAAACACAGAACATAATTTTGCCCTACAGTGCCAGTGAAATTATAAAATTAATCAGGGTCTTTGATTTAATAATTCTTAAAATGTAACTGTTTTGAAAAATGAATTGCCTGAACATGTCAAGTAGTGAAACTGGATTTCAAAGAGGGCTGAATACGGTTATGAACATTAATACACTGCATTTCAGCCTGCTTAGATAGGAGTGTAGTTATCATGCTTCAGGATATAGCCTTGAATTTAAGAAGGATCAGGAAGGGATGTTTATCTTGTGCTGTTGCCTATTTAGAAACACATGACAAACTTGAATTCAATGAATTGGTCACTTGAGTATCAAGTGGTCACTTGGTACAGCAATTTCCACATTGTTCATCAGTTTTATTTTATACGTTTATGTATGTATTAGGTAGGTTTGCTATTTCTTTTTACAATTAAGCAGACATGAGTGAGGTTAACAGATAGGAAAATTAGAACATTTTTTATTAGGCAGCTAGTTATATCAATCACAGGAGGTAATGATTAACTAATGTTTTACTATTCAGTGAAACATATCGTGGTCAGTGTGTGTATACCTGACTCCCTCAGGGTCTTATCATCTTTTATGCATGATGTTAGGCTCTTAGAGAACAAATACGCTCCGCTAACTTGCTCCATTTTTTCCATGCTAACTATTTCTGAATTAGCTGTTGGCTGTTACAATTTCAACACAGATTACTCTGTTTACTGCAAGAGAGTTACACTAGGCCATCAAAATAATGGCAGTGTTTTGCTGTAGTGAGTGAGAGTAGGATAGTTGAGTGATATACAGTATGCTAGCTTTGTGAAATAATACACGAGTTAATGCTTTTTTCTAAATTTTAAGCACCCAAATCTTGACTGTGCTCCAACTCTTTAGCCAGATTCTCTGCTGAATTTAAAGCAGTGTTCTTGAGATTTCACAGGTGTGTTCTTGTCCTAGTGTAGAAGCCACCTTCACAGCTCTGAGACGAATTTAGCATGCTTAGATAATTAAGATTTGCTTCACGTTTTACTTTCTGAAAGAGTCCTTAATTTGACTTGGTCTGGTCATAACTCATGTTTTTAGTAAGGATTTTAGAGTGTTGTTGGAGATGACAATAATCTTCATTATTGTCCAAAAGAAATATAAATCTAAAAAGTTTTCTAGGTCTTTGTTACTGAGCATGGGAGTTGATGGGGTTTTCCCTGAATTGTTCAGAAAATGCTTAACAGCTTCGTGATTGCCTTCTAGGATTTCTTTCTCCATTTGAAAATTAGTTTTGAAAGTCCTGCTTCTTGCCCATTGTATCAGTCTGTGTCTTTGCTTCCTTTACTGTCTGACAAGTAAATTAAGTTCTGTATCAAATGTTGTATGGTGAAATTATGCCTTCCCATGTGAGCAGCTGTGGAAGGGGTTGAAGACAGGTGAAGGCCTCTGGGACCTCCAGCCTGAGGTGGCTTAATCATCTTACCATAGGGAGAAATTTTATTAGCCACAGATATCACTAGATGATACATAAAATGCAAGTCTGCTCCGAGAATGTCAGGTCAGATGTTCTTTTCACTGTATTAGTCTGTGTTTGGTTCTTTCTGCATACTGTACTGAGGCAAACAAGCTTTTGTGTCTCCTGATGCCCTTGACTGAGGGTGGGAGTCGGTTCCGTCTAACACCTGAGCACTGAAAGCTTCAGCCCTGTGCCTTGGTTACCCCTCTGTGCTCACGCTGCACAGAAGCTGGGACCAAGTTTAAGGCTTAAAGGAGACGAAGTGACAGAAGAAATCTTGTAGACCTGCAGCAGTGGGAAGAGCTCAGTTTGGTTTTAGTTGCCTTGGTGAGTTTCTTTACTAGTGGCCTTAAGGAACTTCCCCTCCAAAACTGTATAAAACTAGCCAAATTGCCTGGGAACTGAAGAGACAACCAATTTTGGTATCCTAGGGATGCAGAGAAGAGAGAGAAGAGGTCTCTAATTCCCTTCTTAGCTTTACACAAAGAAAGCTGAGTTGTTTTGTATTTCTGCTGTGAGGCTTGGGAGCACTGATCAGTTTGTGGTTATGGAGTGATGCTCATGAAAGAGAAGTTCCGTGAGGGAATAAATCCTTCAACTTGAGAGAATGGTAGTTGAGTGCCCAGCATTCCTGCACTGTTGCTAGTGCATATGGTATGTTCCTGATTGTTTCCCAATGCTCTGGACAAGTTTAATATTTACCTGCACTTCCTGCTTGGATCTGTGGTGTATGGGGAATATTCTTTTAGCATTGTAATGAAACGGGGATTTGAACTTGAACTACTTTCTAAGTAAATCTTCTGAAGGATTGTACTGAGTAAATATTTATAGAGTTGAATCAAAAAGCACATCGGTGAATATGACTGTCAGTTACACCTTTGTTACTGTATCTGTTTTATTTCAATGAAGCTTTAACACCTGAGGAATAACTACAGTAAGCCTTATGTAAATGGATTTTGCAGCAGTGAAGCACTGGGGCTCATAATAATTTTTATTCCGTGATACTTTCCAAATATCAGAGATGGTACTCAGGCTTAGCACACAGAATACCCGGACAGAACTTGCGCAGACATACATTGAGGTTAAACTTAGGTTAATTAAACAGTGATTAGTGCTTGAGGAGAACATATTGCTGTCTCCTTTCGTAGCATCCCAACATTGGTATATTACAACTCCTAACACACTTTGAAGTTCATCTTGATACCTATCACTTTTATACCAGGAGGATCCAAACTGTGGCATCTCTGAAACATTAAATTTCATCAGCTTTCCTTTGGCTTCTGGGAAAAGCAGTAACTAAAATACAGGATTTGGTGGGAAGTGTACTCAGGTGACTGGCATCATGGGCTTTACTCCTAGGAGATGCTGCTGGGTTAAGGCTGGTGCTTACCTTCCTGCAATGGCTGATTCTTTGTGGAGAGACAGGGAACTGTGTTTTCAGTTGCTTTGACAAGACTAAAATGTGCACGCATATTGGGACAATTTCATGGAGGTAGAGAGCTAATATAGCAGAAGGCAGGCCTTGTAGTTTAGTGATTGCAGGGGAAATGGAGATTAAGAGTCTATTTTCCCTCTCCCTTGATTAGGCCTTCCTAATAATTTTTTGAAGAGGTAAATTTTAAGTCATCAAAGTGATAAAGCTTGGTGAAGTCTGAGGAGATTTTGGGTTGGCTTAACAGCCGGAAACTTGATGTTGCTCTTCTTTCTCTGACCTGATCTCTCTTTCCCTTTGCATTTCTTCATCATCATCTTCCTGCCATTCTCTTAGTTTCCCCCCTTGATTTTTGAAAATAGAAAACTCAGTGAAATATGAATCGAAAGCAGAAAGAAAAGCGGGTCCTGGAAATTCAAGTCCTTTCATCATGATTCTTAGCCTGATGCTTGAACCCTTGCATGTCACCACTTCCAAGATGCTTCAGGATGTAAAGTTGGGATACCCTTAATTACGGCCTCACTTAATGACAGGGCGGTGCAGAAACAAGCCTTTCCATCCACAGAGCTGGTTGATAGATGAATTTATGCCCTTTCCCCACCCTCGCTCTGCTGGGTCTGTCCTAACAGTGGCAAGGGAATCTACATAGAAGGCTACCGAGATGGCTGCAGGGATGAAATGCAAATATAAAGCCCCCTCTTTGGTGTCCATTCCTATATTTCCCATGTCTGGTTGCAGTAACAGTGTGCACTAAAGCTGTTACTGAGGAAAGCCAATAGTTCAGCATCATCCTGAAGTAGTAGGTCAGTGACAGGGTTTTGGCTTTTAAAGATTGACAGACAAATACTTGGGCATCATTACAACACACCATCTCATTCAATTATTTATGTAGCTGGCTTTAAACTGAGTAGTGGAACAAAAGATCTGTTTCACAGCTGTTGAGCAGATATATTTCACTGGAGATGACACAAAGTTGTCCTGATGACATCAGAGCTTTGAAATATAGCTGATTTCACATGTAAAAGAATAAAGGAATGTTGTTTTCATGTCATGCTTGGAGAAGGAGAAACACAGCAAGATCAAAGGTGATATAAGAAATATCAGGTAAGAGTTCAAGGCAGTTGGAAATGGTTCTGTGGAAACAGTAGCATGGAAGATAGCTTTCAGGCCAACACAGTGCGCAGGAAGAACGTGCTCAATACTTCACTGGAACGTGTTGTTTATCTGAAATGTACTTAATATGAATATGAACCTGTATTATATATTGCAGAATTAAGGGGAAGGTGGAGAAATAGGTAGTCCCTGTGTCAAGGTCTGGCAGTGTAGGGCCATGACAGAGAAATGAATGGCAAGTGGGAAGGGGGGGGTATAGTGTACATATCCTGATGGTGCGTTATTTGCTTTTCTGCCTTGAGAATCCAGAGCTAAGGTGTAAGCGCAGATTGGAAAGCTGTTTCTTTGTGGAGGCTGAGGGAAATAGTACATGTGAGCGGTGTTAAACAAACAAGATAAATGCACTAAAAAAACAAAACACCAGGATCATAGTTTCTCTTTTAGAGCTGAATTTTCGAGTCTTAAAAGCTGAGTAAGCACAA